GTGAGGTGGGCGACTGAAAACTGCTGCTACTTCAGACTTAATTGTTTCACTGTAAGATGCGCATAAACCAAATGATGAGAAAATTTGTATAAGCTGTTGCGAGAAGTGATGAGTTTGCTGATTATTTAAGAAGCCAAAAGTCCGTTACAATTCACGTGGATTGCAGAAAATCATACACCCGGAAAACTTCAATCTCTGCATCAAAAAGACAACGTGAGGAAGAACAGGCCAGTACTTCAAAAGTAAGTCCACCTCATACTAGAGCGCGAATAAGTGAATCCAGTTTTTGTTTTAAAAACCACTGCTTTTTTGTGGCGATGAAGCGGATGAAGAAGCAGAAAAGAAGAAAGTGAAGATTTATCGCCGAAAAATTCATAAAGTTTCTATACTTACATTCAAAGATTCCATTTTAAAATTAGCTAAAGATCGTTCTGATGATGTGTCAAAAGCTGTCTTTGCGCGTATTAATTTTCAGTATGATTTAGTTGCTGCTGACGCTAAATACCATGACAGTTGTTACAAATCCTTCCTGAGACCTAATACTGGCGGTAAAATTGGCCGTCCTCAAAGTGAGGCTATAAACTCTGCAATGGAGGAAATTTTCAATTTCATTGAAAGTAGCGATGACTGCCAGTTTTCGTTAGATGAACTGAAGAATGTTTGCCAAAATGTAGCTTTAGAAAACGGGATTATAAAAATACGATTGAAATTAAAGTATGGTAGTAGAATTATTATTACAGAGAAGCCTGGAAAATTAACATTTATTTCTTTTGTAGACAATTACCAAGACATTTTAAGTCAAGCCTGGTCTGATAACAAAAACTTGAATGAAAAGGAAAAACGGTGGAAAACTTTAAAAGCTGCGGCAGAAATTATTCGAGAAGATATTCAATCTTGTATATTTGATAATACTATGTACCCGCCACCGGGTAGAATGTTTGAAGATATAAATAACTATATTCCCGAATCATTATCTTTTTTTTTTGGGACAAATCATTCTTAAAAATAAGCGTCATGATTTGGATTATTTAAAGTTAGTTTGCACAAATATTAGTCATAGCATAATGACTGCTGTTCGTCCTAGATCCTTCAAGTCTAAATTACAGCTGGGTCTTTCAGTTTTTTTCCATCGGCGGTTTGGTTCAAAACGGCTTATACAAATTTTCTCATCGTTTGGTTTATGCGCATCTTACAGTGAAACAATGAAGTCTGAAGTAGCAGCAGTTTTCAGTCGCCCACCTCACATTTTATCACCAGAAACTGGCACATTTGTTCAATATGTTGCAGATAATGCTGATATTAATGTATAGAATTAGACACAATATGATTTAATTAAAATGACAATTTTTTAATAAAAAAAAAACTGTATAATATGTATTATGTATTCTATCAGTCAATCTAGTTTTCATGGTACAAGCTCTGCTTAGTTTGAAACTAGATGGCGCTGTGTGTTAGATGTTCTAAATATTATTATTCTTCAAAAACAATTTGCATATTAATGACCTGCAACTTGTATTATTGTATTTTTATTATTCTCATAATAAGTAGCATTACTATTAATTTTGTTTATAATGAAAATATGGTGATTTGAACTTAGTCTTATTCTGAACTGAGAATGACTGGACTGAAACAAGAGAACATAGTTAAATCTTACTAACAATATGCATGCTGACAACAAAGATGTGGTGTATGATGGATTTTAAACTTTATTAATTCACCACTAAAGTTGTTTAATAACAATATATCTTGTTATGGTTTATTCATTAATCTGTGGTTCAAGAAATAAACATGATAACAAAACAAGTTCATCATCTGCCTTATCACAATTTTATTTGGGCTCGGCGCAGTAAGAATGATTCTTTCATTCTACTCTATCATGTGTCATCTCACTGTTTACTCCCTTCCTAGCCATATCCTCACTCACACAGTCTATCCACCTTTTCTTTGGTCTTCCTTTTCTCTTTTATCCTTACCCATAGTACAAGCTCTGCTTAGTTTGGGGCTAGATGGCGTCGTGTGTATGTGGTAGAATATTATTATTATTAACTCTCATACTTAAAACTTTCTTCGCCACATTTTCCTCATCCCTTCGCATGACATGTCCATACCAAGATAACCTATTACTTCTTAACTTTTCAGCCAGTGACGTACGACTTTCAGACTCAATCCAATTAACATAACTTTATTATTAATTTATTCTTATAACTATACTTCTGCAACAGTATTAATAATATTTCATACATCTTACGCACAGCCAAACTAGGCAGAGCCTGTGCTACTATAGTAACCAGCCTGTTGATAAACATAATTACATTTCTAAATACATACATATTACACATACACCCAGATACAGAACAAAGGACCGTGCTCATCACACAACTAACCACTAGACCGACTGGCCAGTCTATAGTATTGTTTTGTATATGACTCTGTGTTTGTATGTTTCTGGACCTTAGTAACTGTTTGTCATCAATCAATTTGAGTGCATGTTTGCTGCCTCAGTAGTATCAAAAATTAGGTGTGTATTGTTAGGTGTGGACATTAAGGGGGGTCGTCTACTTGTTGTAGATGGCCCGAGGTATGTCGGGGCACCAGGGACTTCTTTTCTAGGTTCCCCGGCTATTAGTACCAGAGACGGCGTGCGGTTTTAATCGGTTCGAGTCCGACATGCCACCGTGGGATATCCGCACGAAAAAAAAAAAAAGGTGTGGACATTAAGTGCTATCAGTTACCAATCTATACTAATATTATAAAGCTGAAGAGTTTGTTTGTTTGTTTGTTTGTTTGTTTGTTTGAACGCGCTAATCTCAGGAACTACTGGTCCGATTTGAAAAATTCTTTCAGTGTTAGATAGCCCATTAATCGAGGAAGGCTATAGGCTATATATCATCACGCTAAGACTAATTGGAGCTTAGCACCAATGAAGAATGTTTCAAAAACGGAGAAAATTTATTACTATTGAGAGACGCAGACGAAGTTGCGCGGGTCAGCTAGTTAAATATATGAGAATAATGAGGTTTGAAGTATGATCAACTTCAATTGATCTGTATGACAGCATTTGAAAGTTTTAATAAGTCTTTTGGTGTATTTTATGTTAATATGAATACATAATATGATATGAATTGACTGCACGGATTAAGCTTCCTACTACTCAGAGTGTTGTGGTTCCAAACCCCAGACAGGGGTTGGACGAGACTTTGTGTGATCCACAAATTGTTGTTCTGATTCAGGGTGTTCTTTATGTCCGTTTCATATTTGTACGAGAGAACATGTTCTTTCTTATTAACATTTACAGACCACTAAAGAAGAATCAAAAAGAACAAGTGTTTTATAGAATGTCTTAAGAGTATGTCATCATCAATCCATACATAGGCCTTTCCTTTAAAAGGAGATTTTGGTCTACTATACGACGCTGGTCAGACAGGTGGTGCCTGTTGTCCTGCGTAGTTTGTTCCCTTAGTCGGGTCTTATGACACCCATGGTATGAATAGGGATGGTGGTACTCTATATTCTTAATCCATCAACATATGGACGAGTTTCATACAACTATATATATAAATTTAATTTCTAAATTTTTGTAAGTTTGTTAAATATAAGCTTTTATAACTCAGAAAAGAGTGTTGGAATGGAGACCATGGGACCAGAAAAGACCTCGAGGGCGACCACAGATGAGATGGAAGGATGACATCAAAAAAGTGGCGGGCAGCAACTGGATCCTAATTGCCCAAGACAGAGGAAAGTGGAGAGGATTAAAGGAGGCCTACACCAAATATTTGGTCGATTAAGGCTAAAGAAGAAGAAGATAACTCTGAAGATTTTAAATTCTATGAGAAGGGTCACAGACTCAATTGAAAAAAAAAATGTCACAGTTAAATTGAGAACCAAATTTATCCTTATGACTTTCTAACAGATGAGGAGGAAGACACCTATTAAATCATCTTTAAATTAAAAAATAATATCTATTTTTGAGTAGGTCCACAAAACCTAATAGAGTTCCAATGTCTTGTTTGGTTTGTACTTTGTCTGAATACTGACAGCAAATTCGCAAGTAGTTTTCTTGGCTTTCATAATCAATACTGGTAGTATAAAATTCCTAATAATTACCGTAACTTCTTAATACACAGCAAGATCTTAGTAATATGTTTAAGAAAACAATTTATGATTCTACATCATTTTGATAGTTATTTTTTATTGGAATAGTTTCCCTCTAGTCTGTTTGCAAGTAATGTTATTACATAGGATAAAAATACAAATAGTATTTTCTCGATCTATTGTTTGCTTAATTACCATGTTAAAACTTTTACATGACGACTGTACTACCAAATATCAACAAAGCGACAGTAGCGCCTCCTGGTGTGGCGCGTGATTGCACTAAAATTTACTAAATTATGAAGTAGCTAGGCAGCCATCTTGTGAGCCTTGACTGCTGTCAATTTACTGTCATTGAGACATTTTACTAAAGTCAACGGGAATGCAATAACAACAACAAAGAAAATAACTTCTCACAAATACATTTTTCAGCAACGACGGGACAAAATATTCACATGCATATGGAAATATACACATATCGATCGGTCTGACGCAGTTCGACATTACGTAGGACTAAATGTATAAGCTAAAAATAACTCGAGCACGCCCTAATTCAGAAATAAGTACTTGGGCAAAGATCATTTAAGTCACATTACCCGGCTGTAATCGTTGATCTTTACAACAAAATCTAAGAAGAAGTACAGACGCTATAAATGCCCACAGCAAGCGATAACCAATGTGGCGCATTGGCGCCATTTTCCTTTCGCGAGATCGCGTTCCTAGGTGACGTAACAGGTCTGATTTCCTTTGCTGACTATTTGTATAGGCTTAAAAGCAATAGAAGACCTAGTTTTTAATATATTTTTATCGGAAAAATGAGTTGTTTTCATTTAAGTGTCACCTTGACGTATCACGTCAATTTGACAAGCATGGCGGAAACGTGGCGTCGTTTTGATTTTGGACCGGCTCACCTCCAGGAGATGTTGATTGTTGTCTGTGTGCTACACGAGCGCTTCTGATTATTTCTCTGGTGAGGTCTCTAACGTTCTGACGTTGTTGGAACGCCATATCGGGCCGGTCGCGCTGTTCTTGTGATAGACCGGCCGTGGGAGGTAACATCGTTGCTCACTTAATCCATGCGAACACTTCTTCTCTCTTTTAGTCACAAGTACACACTAATAATATTGTCCACTAATGAATGATATTCGAGAATTGGCACTACAAACGTAGAAAACAAGTATAAAGCTGCATAACAACGCACAGCAAACCGAACAGAGCGCGACTGTCGAACGAGAGACGGCGGGAAGCTAAAGCGCCGCCGCGCCTCTATCTCTGTCTATCACACGTGTAGTGATATTACTCTCTCGTTCCCTCGTACACGGTTTCGTGACAGATGCAAGTATATATGTCAAAACAAAGCGTGGGCTGTTTAAATGTCAAACATTCAACCGTTTTGCATAGTGACATCTATGGGACTTTTCACAAGTTAACTGAAAAATGGGCACAAAGATTATTTTCACCGTCTTCGGCGCTCATTGAGTAATAAGGTCGCAAGATTAACCACGAGACACTGAAAACAGCTGTCTGATTAAATAATGTTTTCTGAATAAATGCTCATTTAAGGGTTATTTAATGAAAATAGTAAAAATAAAGATTTATGTAAGATTTAAATAGTACCTCATTCCACAGTAAAATGTTTGGATTCAAACCTTGTTTTTAGAAATACTCATATTGTATTAAAGATAACAAAACTAATATTTGATTCATTTCTAGGTTATTTATTTATTAATATATCTAATGTATAATGATCACACCCAGATACTTACATTTTCTTGTCGGCTCTAGTAGTGTGGACAAGCTAACGTCTACTAATATATTTCTTTGTGTAAGGATGCAAAGTAGAATTTGACAGACCTGTTACCAGTTAACCATTTGTCTTCGGAATATCTACTACCATATTCGTATCAATAGGCAATCATTTATTCTTTTGTATTACCTAGTCATTAAATTAACTGCATGTAGCTAGTCACTGTAACTATAATCAATAAATAAGCATATTTAAAATAAGCATATATCGACGGATTTATTTATGATAAATGAAGTAAAAAAATAACTTAAATCAGTAAACAACACATCTATACAAATGATGTTATTTATACTATAGTCGTTGACACATGTTCCTCGATTTTCTGCATCGATTCAATAAGACTCTTGTACACCATCTCCGGAGCATTGGTCGAAAACTGGAAGTCCATGTTACCGAAATGTTCTTCAGATACCTTGTGGGTTTCTTTTACATTGGGTAGCTCCTTCTCCAATCTCTCAACATCTTTCGGATGGGCCAGCCAGTCGTCCTCGCTGTAATACAGTGATACAGGGACCTTGACGTTTTCCATCTCGTACTTGGGAGGCTGTTCCTTACCATACACATTCACGTTAATCTTGGGGCCATAGTCATATCTTCGGAATTCTTGCGAAGCGACAGCCTGACCGTATTGCTTGATCACCTTACTGGAAGTTCCAGCGGGCAAATGGCGCATGACAACAGACATCAGTTGAGCATCAGAGACGTGTAAATTAACACCAGCCATGACGAAGTTTATATTTGAGGACACATCCTTACAGCCAGTCTGTGCCTCCAACATAGCGCCTCCCACAGCCCGGATTAATTTCTTGTTAGGAGTAAAAGGGCCACTTCCGAGTTGTTGTTTCAGACGATTGTAGAAATGGCTTGAAGGAGACATCATACGGAACAATGGGCTGCGAGTATTGTTCATGTAGACAATTGGAGACAAGGCATACATCATGATGATCTTGTCGTTATATTCTGGACGAGTAGCGGTGAGCGCAAAGAAAGCAGTACTTCCCTGAGAGTGGCCGATATAGAACAACTTCTCTTGTTTTGTAGTTTCAAGTGCGTAGTCTATCATAGCTGGCAAGTCGTGAAGGGCAATCTCATCAATACTGTATTGCCAAAAGTCGGAAACAGCAGAGTGCTTGCTGACGTGTTTCTTGCAGTATTTGTTGCCGCGAGCATTACCGAGCCATACATCGTAACCAGCATCAGAGAGTAAGTAGGGAAGAGATTTTTTTGGGCCCATCAGGAGCCAATCATCAGCGCTTCCGTCAATACTGTGCATCAAAAAGACTACTGGCCTCTTCTTAAGATCGCGTGGTTGAATGTTTGAGGGTATTCTGAACAGAGTAAGAATATAGCCGTCATCGGTCTTGACAATATGTTCCTCCACGAGATACCGATTTTTTCGTACCAGCTGGGTAGCGTTGGCCTCAGCGTCTTCGTTGTGTTGTAGCTTGGCGTGTTCGAGTGACTGGTGGAATTGCATTTTTTCGTCATCACTAAGTTGTTTCATTGCTTTCTGGGCATCACTAAAAATCTTTTCAAGTTCTTCTTTGTCTTGAACTGAAATGCTGGAACTGACACCCATATGAACTTTGCGTTCGATGACATCGTGTTTAGCAATGTTCTGGTTTTCTAGGCTCGAAGCCGGGTCTTGGGGTATCCACCTATAGATCTCATCATTAAGATTTGGCTTGACATTATCGTTGTATTGACCCCATTCTTGTGATTCTTGGGAGCTTTGAGAACCTTCGCTGGAGGAAGAGATTGAACGACGATGATTTTGTTGGTTCAGTTGAGAATTTTGTAGCTGTTTGTAGGAGGAGTACTGTTTTCTGACTTGTTCTTCTAGCTGTTGAGCAGACGAAGAATGGTGCTTCATTTGATATGATGGTTGTTCATAGTTTTCATAGTGCCGGTACTGTTGCTCCTGGGAGTTCTGCGTTTTTTCAAGACCTTCTCTGTATGAAGGTCCGGGCTGGTCGCGCTCTTGGTCTTGTTTCTGTTCTTGCTGGTGGCTGTGCATGAGCCCAGGGAGTTGGTGGTGCTGGTGGTTTTGGTGCCATTCGTTATTTGAAGGCTGGTTCCTGTGTTGCCGTTGGATTATATTGATGTGCTTCAGCTGCTCGAAGTCAAGATTGTCTGTTTGACGGTCTTTGTGCTTGAAGATGCTGGCTCCGATGCCATGAGCAAGGGCAAGACATAGCAACACATGAACAGCCTTCATGTTGCTGATTTGTGTGTGTAGATATTGAAGAAACCCACAGTATTTATACAAAATATATTGTAAAGTCAGCTGTATGAGCCGTAGGTGGGGACAACGTTACGCGTCGGTATGAACACGATGAAAATTAAGCGTAAGCACAATATATCGTTCGTGAATAAAACCTAAATAAAATTATTTTAAATTTAAGCTGAATTGTAAAATAGTGTTTGTTTTAATGTTACAATTTTATGAATGCATTAATATGATTCATAATAACCTCAGTCACATTTACTTTTAGAATCTGTTACTTCTACTCAGAACAAGTAAAAACTATTTTTAGGCAGCCAGTTTAATGAAGAAGATGAAAAGATATGTAAAATGATGCTGTGATCAAGAAAAAAAAGAATTGGTATCTATAACTAAACAAATATAACTCAGATGAGAGTACGAGTATAGCTGCTAATCTGTTAAAGTTACATTTTCTGAAATCTTTTTAAGGAAATAATATAATAATAATAATAAATGTGATAGTAATAGAACGGCAACAGAATAGACTGACTTATTGGTCTAGTGGTTAGCAATCCTGAATGCTAAGCAATAGGTCTTATGTTTGATTCCCACACAGGACAAATATTGTGTTATGAGCACGATCATTTGTTCTGTCTGGGTGTATATATTTAGATATATATAAGTGTGTTTTTTATATATAGATGTTAGTTGACGGCGATAGGCTTGCTATCTATTACATAAGTGGGGCTAAAACTATAGTCAACGAAATTTGGGCGTTTTATACGTTTCCGTCTACCCCTTCGAAGAAAAAGACGTGAGTGTATGTATGTAGTTCTATCGCATTAGCTCAATGTGCCAGCCAGGTCAGACTATTGATGGGTGACCATTTCTTAACGTATTGAGACTCCTTCGTGCCTCGAAGAGCGCTTTAAGCCGTCGTTCCCGGCTATATGGACAACTGTGCCAACCATAACGGGCAGTTGGAGGCTTGGAGCCCTAAACAGTTCGACAATAGTCTTCCTACATATCGCCTAATATTTGGGCTGTGGAAGTCTCATTCAATTATTCAATCGTTTTACGTAGTGACATCTATGGGAATTTTCACAAGTTAACTGACAAATGGGACACAACTGACAATCTGACAATTATTATTTTCACCTTCTGCAACGCTCATTGAGTATTAAGATAGCAAGATTAACCATGAAGCACTGAAATACGTCTAAGTCTTAAATCTGATTGAATTATGTTATCTGAATAAATGCTCATTTAAAGGTTATTCAATGAAAATAGTAAAAATAGAGACTTTTTTACGATTTTATTAGTAATTCAGAGGTAAAATCGTGCAGTATAGTGTTTTATAAAATCAAACCTTGTTTATAGAAATACTTATAATGTATTCAAGAAAACCAAACAAATTTTCGATTCAGTTAGATTATTTATTTTTATAAGTAGTGTATGTGGACGAGGTAACGTCTACTAGTGCATTTTTTTTGTGTACCAGTAAGGTGGCAAACTAGCATTTGACATACCTGTTTTCAGTTAACCATTTGCCTTCGGAGTATTTACTACCATGTTCGTATCAATAGGCAATCTTTTATTCTTTTGTATTAGTGATTACATTAAATGCGAGTAGATAGTTACTGTAACTATAGTCAATAAATAAGCATTTACTAGATGTGTGAATGAATAAAAAGAAAATTCAATATGGACGGATTTATTTATATGATAAATGAAGTAAAAAAATAACTTAAATTAGTAAACAATACATCTATACAAATGATATTATTTATACTATGGTCGTTGACACACGTTACTGGTTTTTCTGCATCGATTCAATAAGACTCTTGTACACCATCTCCGGAGCCTTGGTCGAAAACTGGAAGTCCATGTTACCGAAATGTTCTTCAGATACCTTGTGGGTTTCTTTTACATTGGGAAGCTCCTTCTCCAATCTCTCAACATCTTTCGGATGGGCCAGCCAGTCGTCCTCGCTGTAATACAGTGATACAGGGGCCTTGACGTTTTCCATCTCGTACTTGGGGGGCTGTTCCTTACCATACACATTCACGTTAATCTTGGGGCCATAGTCATATCTTCGGAATTCTTGCGAAGCGACAGCCTGACCGCATTGCTTGATTACCTTACTGGAAGTTCCAGCAGGCAAATGGCTCATGACAACAGATATCAGATGAGCATCAGAGACGTCTAAATTAACACCAGCCATGACGAAGTTTATGTTTGAAGACACATCCTTGCAGCCAGTGTGTGCCTCCAACATAGCGCCTCCCACATCTCGGATGAATTCCTTGTTAGGAGTAAAAGGACCATTGCCAAGTTGTTGTTGCAGGCGATTGTAGAAATTGCTTGAAGGAGACATCATACGGAACAATGGGCTGCGTGTATTGTTTATGTAGACAGTTGGAGACAAGGCGTACATCATGATAATCTTGTCGTTATATTCTGGACGAGTAGCGGTGAGCGCAAAGAAAGCGGTACTTCCCTGAGAGTGGCCGATGTAGAATAACTTATTTTGTTTTGTAGTTTCAAGTGCGTAGTCTATCATAGCTGGCAAGTCGTGAAGGGCAATCTCATCAATACTGTATTGCCAAAAGTCGGAAACAGCAGGGTGCTTGCTGACGTGTTTCTTGCAGTATTTGTTGCCGCGAGCATTACCGAGCCATACATCGTAACCAGCGTCAGAGAGTAAGTAGGGAAGAGATTTTTTTGGGCCCATCAGGAGCCAATCATCAGCGCTTCCGTCAATACCGTGCATCAAAAAGACTACTGGCCTCTTTTGAAAAAAGCGTGGTTGAATCTTAGAGGGCACTCTGAACAGAGTAAGAACGTAGCCATCATCTGTCTTGACAGTATGTTCCTCCACGAGATATTGATGTTTCTGTATCAACTGGGTAGCGTTGGCCTCAGCATCTTCTTTGTGTTGCTTGGCGTGTTCGAGTGACTGGTGGAATTGAAGTTTTTCGTCATCACTAAGTTGTTTCATTGCTTTCTGGGCATCGCTAAAAATCTTTTCAAGTTCTTCTTTGTCTTGAACTGAAATGCTGGAACTGACATCCACATCAACTTTGCCTTCGATGTCATCGCGGTTGACGATGTTCTGGTTTTCTAGGCTCACAGCAGAGTGTTGGGGTACCCACCTCATGTATGTAACTTGGGGTAACTTTTCTTGTGATTCCTGGGAGCTTTGTGAGGTTTCGCTGGAGGAAGAGACAGAATGATGTTGCATTTGTTGGTTTTGTTGGGAATGTGGTTGCTGTTCGTATGAAGAGTACTGTTTTCCCATTTGTTCTTCTAGCTGTTGCTGGTGGGCAGTCAAAGGATGGCGCTTCAATTGATATGATGGCTGTTCATAGTGCTGGTACTGATGCTCTTGGGAGTTCTGAGTTTGTTCAGGATGTTCCCTGTATGAAGGTCGTGGCTGGTCGCGCTCATGGTCGCGTTTGTGTTCTTGCTGGTGGCTGTTGTGCTGCTGAGGATATTGATGGTGCTGGTGATTATGACGCCATTCGTTATCTGAAGGCTGGTTCTTATGTTGCAGTTGGAATATATCGATGTGCTTCAGCTGCTGGAAGTCAAGATCGTCTGTTTGACGGTCCTGGTGCTTGAAAATGCTGGCTCCGATGCCATGAGCAAGGGCAAGACATAGCAAGACTGGAACAGCCTTCATGTTGCTGATTTGTGTGTGTAGATATTGAAGAAACCCACAGTATTTATACAAAATATATTGTAAAGTCAGCTGTATGAGCCGTAGGTGGGGACAACGTTACGCGTCGGTATGAACACGATGAAAATTAAGCGTAAGCACAATATATCGTTCGTGAATAAAACCTAAATAAAATTATTGTAAATTTAAGCTGACTTTTAAAAGAGTATTTTAATATAATGTTACAATTTTATTCATGTACAAAATGTTTATAGCACAGAATATAATAATAATAAGTATAATAGTATACACTGACTTGTTGGTCTAATGGTTAGCAATCCTGAATGCTACGCCAGTGGTCGTAAGTTTGATTCCCACCTAAGACTAATATTGTGTTTTGAGCACGATCATTTGGGTCTGGGTGTAATAAATCTGTCATATGCAAAAGTTTTATATTTAGATATGTATAAGTGTGTTTATTTATATATAGGTGCCCAGTTGATGGCGATAGGCTTGCTACCTATTACATAAGTGGGGCTAAAAGTATAGTCAATGAAATATGGGCGTTTCTATACGTCTCAGTTAGCGTTTAGCGGGTACCTTACGGAGCAAAAGTACAGTTTATTTTGTAATAGTAATTTCTGTTACGCAATTGTGTGACTGTACGTATGGTGACGGATTAAGAATACGGAGTGTCACCACCCCTTTTCATCCAATAGGTGTCGTAAGAGCCGACTAATTGAGAAAACTACGCAGGACAACAGCAAGCAAACAGTTCTGTGGTATAGTAGGCCAAAACCTCCTTTCTAAGGAGAGGCCTATGTTCAGTAGAGGACTGTTAAAGGCTGTTGATGATGATGATGATGAATTGTGGTATATTAGGTGTGTAAACAGAGACTTATTCGCGGGAATAGGTATCATGAGACTACTGTAAGTTATTCATACCACTTTGTTTGTCGCGCCTGGCCCAAATGTGACGAAGCATAGCTCTCCCACGATACTTGAGTATGAAGGTATATCGGGCAAGTCTGACCAGAAAAAAGGAGCCCTCTCACCTTAGTTATTATATATATATATATATATATATTATATAATGCTCAAAAGTTCCGTAGGTGACGTAGGTGAGCACTAAGAAAGGATTTTTAAGAATTACACCCCTAAGGGTGCAAAATTGGCTCTTGTTTATAAGATTTTTTTTACGTTATTTTTGGTAGTAGCGTTTTAAAACTCACAGTAAATACTCTTTATTAAAATTAATAAAAAAAAACATTATTACTAATTTTTTAAACTACCTGTAAAAAGGGGTCTGAGGAACTATTTTTTGTAACTTATCGATTCCATACTCTCAGTTTAGGTATATTCTATATCAAAAATAATAAAAATTAGACCCCTATTTTTTCACTTTTCATCACGTAAGTATGTTTGTTTCTTAATCACGCCAAAACAACTTTCTGGATCTGGACGAGATTTGGAACATTTATCTCTATTTTCTATTTTTAATTTACGCGAGCAAAGCCGTGAGCAAAAGATAGTTGTATCATGTATACTAATAATTATACTAACTAACATCATCATCTGCCTTTAGTAGTCCACTGCAGGACATAGGGGTCTAATTAGAAAGGAGGTTTTAGCCTACTATACCACGCTGGCCTGATGGGTTGGTAAAGAATTTGTTTCAAGTTTTCCTTCTCTTTGCACAATAACCAACGGATATACTAACTAAACCCATGCTTTAAACCTTTGTTTATTTATGTATATAATATGATTAGTTTCGTCCTAGATAAGGGCGTGCATGCGTAGCCAATATCATTTTTCTCTAATTTCAATTAACAAAAAATTTATCTGAACTTTAAATATTTGTTAGAACTTGCAAGCAACTTTTAGAACCTGAAAACATGAGGTATCAAATGATCAAACGTTCATTTTTTATTAATCTATACAAATAAATAAAATTGGAGTGTCTGTTTGTAAAATTAAAATAACCGCTTTTTACTAAATGCATGGTATGTATGTTTACAGGGTACATATGCCAAAATAACATTTTTTTCAATTTTTGTCTGTCTGTCTGTTTGTTCCCGGTAATCTCTGGAACGGCTCGACCGATTTCGACGGAACTTTCACTGGCAGATAGCTGATGATTTAAGGAGTAACTTAGGCTACTTTTTTTAGACTAGCTTCGCCCCGCGGCGACAAACAAACGTTATAACAAACGCGGGTAAAACCGCGGGTCTCAGCTAATAAGACAATATAATTTGACATTGATTGATCGAAATTATATTTGTATGCATAAAATATAGGGCAGACACTCAACAAACGCACTTCGCTATCAAAATCCTTTATCCACCTTAAAAATCGCTTAATTTTACTGCATTTTTAACCAACTTCAGAAAAGGAAGAGGTACTCAATTCGATTGTATTCTTGTACTATGCAACAGGCTTGTAAATGTTTGTTCTCTTAAAACCCTGTTATTTATAAAGCGATTTGGCAAATACTTTTTTCTGTGGATATATTTAGAAGGGGAGAATTAGAAATTAACAATACATTTTATCATAACGTAGCTGAATTAAAGTCTATAATACTTTAAAAAAATAATTATGAAACAACTGGCATAACATATTAATATTTGTATCAGTATTTTTGTTCATGTTGAATTTTGTTTCTATGATGGACCTGTTGGTCTACAGTGAGCCTGACTTCTCAGCCCAAGACTAACTATGTTATGAGCACGATCATATGTTTTACGTCTGGGTGTAATTTTTAATAACATGTATGTATTTAGAAAAACAAAAAAGGTTACTATAGCGCAGGCTCTGCCTAGTTTAGAGTTATCACTGCAAGACCATCTTGTAACCGACAATAAAGAGTATGTTTCGTGGTGTACGAGTAATTTCATGTTAGGTGTACCCGTAACTTGGTTAACGTAGGATTAAGTATCGTCTTGCACTAATAATATACGCAAATAGGTAATATAAACTACTTAATTCTAACAGGTAAAAAGCTCCGGTCGATCCGCCCCACATGTCCTGAATGATGCTTCTCCCATGGTTAAATCTATACTAATATTATAAATACGTAAGTGTGTCTGTCCGTCTGTCTGTTACCTCTTCACGGTTAAACCGCTGAACCGATTTAGATTAAATTTGGTATAGAGATATTTCGAGTCCCGGGAAAGGACATAGGGTAAGGCTTTTTATCGCGATAACTGACATTTACGCGGGTGGTACAAAAGCTAGTTAAACAAATAAAAGTCCCTTGCATGACTAACACGTGATTTAACATCGTGTGGTTTTAGTCGGTTCTATTCCGTTAAGTGGTATACTTCACCGTGAGCCTGGGGTGATACATTCACGAGTCTAGTGTTTGGTGACCCTGTCTGCTAAACCGGAGGTCGTGAGTTTGAATCCCACCCAGAACAAACATTGTGTAACGAGCACATCCATTTGTTCTATGTCTGAATGTAATTTATCTATAATATATGTGTATTTAAAAATATTTTTGCTTGTTTATCAGCTGTCCGGTTATAATTATAAAAGTACAGGCTCTGCCTAGTTTGGGGATCAGAGAGCCGTGTGTAAGATGTGTGAGATTACTTTATTACATACAAATAGACAAAGCCGAGGTATAATTCTTGTAATTTAGCTAATTGCACGTGCATGATGAATGTTTGTTTTGCTAATTTGACTGTTTTTAATTAAATCTATAAACAATGTGTTTAAATTATATCTGACTGTGAATTATTTCGTTGAAATGCTAGCAAAAGCAAATCACATGTAGGCATATTTTGTTTTTATGTTTGAAAAAAGATGATTTGGTATTTTTTTTTAATATATCACGTCTTTAATGTGTGATGATGATCGTAGGCCTATGTAGCAAGGTGGTAATATATTCGACTGCTTCGTGAGATATTATGGGTTCGATTCCTGCTCAACGCAAGTATATTATAAAGAAGTAGTAGAGCACTGCGAATTCCTGCTTGAAACGCCGCCTGGCAGATATTCTCCTGAACTATTCAGAAGACGGTAATAAAAACATTGTAAAGTCTTTCTTTTTAGAGGTCAAACGAGAAGACGTTACGGTCACCTGATAGTAAGTGACTACCCCACTCAAGACTACATGGATGGCGTACATACAGTATACACCTACAGTGTTGTTGGTTCGATCCTCACATAGGAAGACACTTTGTGTGATCCACTAATTGTCGTTCTGAGTCTTGGGTTCTTTGTGTCTGTTTCATGTATGTCTGTAAAGTCCCCCGACACAGGATATATTCTTAATTGTGTAATTTATCTAGAATATATATGTATTTAGAAATATGTAAGCATGTTTTTTAGCGGTCTGGTTACCATACCATAGGCTCTGCCTAGTCTGGGATCACACGGCCGTGTGTGCGATTCCCGGGCCTGACTAAATTTTAAAGGGTTTATCTGAGACAAAAACTTATATATAATAATAATATTTTAGTAAATTCTTCCCGCGTATTAGCTTTTACTGTGAATTTTATTTTCTTTAAGAGTTATTTACAAACTAGTCGATCATCATCATCATCATCACCAAAACCTCCTTTCTAAGGAGAGGCCTATGTCTAGCAGTAGACTATTAAAGGCTGATGATGTGATGATGTGTGATGTATAGCAAGCGTCTACCAAAGAGCGAAAGGAACTTCATTCCGACTGGGGTCCATAGATCCCTCACCAGGCGCGGTCGCAGCCTGAAATTTTGGAGAGGGTCACTAAAAATAAAATATGTCGAGTAATTTTATTGCACAGTTTTTATTTACATTATAAAACAAATGGAAGACTTCTATTTCTATTATCAAATCAGGAGATTTGGTGACATATAATTTGTTAAGTACAGTTAGTAACATAATCGAAAAAAAAATAAAAATCACATCAGGAAGGTTCGTAATTAGTCCACATGTAATACATAATTCTTGATATACTTAATCTCACTACTTAATCTACGCCGGAGAACATCACTGAATAAGAGAATGAGAATAAATTCATTGGTGGATTTGTTACCTGGC